CCCAACACCATATTCTAATTATTAAGGGCCCTAGATTATCCGTAGTAACAGAGCACCTACGTAAATCCCAAAGTTTCATCCCTAATCGCTGGGCCTCAAACCGTCAGACCCAAACCCCAAGCCACTCAGCTCAGGACAACAAGCCGCAACTGAAAGCTTGCGTTCGCAAGTGCCTTGGCTCCTGCATAGGACGGGTGAGGACTTTACGTTTTGTTGTAGGAGCTTTGACGAGGGTTATTTACGGCTTCAAGTGATGTAGAGGCCCGAATATTGACATAGCTTCTTGCAGGACTTTCGTAGTCATAGTGTTTGTATCATATCATGGTAGTATGGATCAATGATAGGGCCCTGAATAATTGGAATGTTTTGGGACATATCATAGTACAATTATAGTAGAGTTATATATGGGCTATCACGGAACATCAGTCATAATCCTTCACTAGTCAGACCTACATGGGGGTTTGGGGTTCAGGGGTGCATTGACTACGAGGTAGAGAGAGTGCACTAAACCCTAAACCCTAAACCCTAAGAGTTCAGTGCTCTACGGTGCAGGGGGCTTAGGGCTTCGGGTTTCAGGTCATCGCAGAGAAGCTTTAAGGTTTGGTGGGTATGGGGTTTAGGGTTTTAGGCTTTAGGTTTTAGGGTTTAGGGGTTCAAAGTTTGAGGTTTAGGGGTTTAGGGTTCAGGGGTTTGGGGTTTAGGGCTTAGGATGAATCGAGGTGAGTTGAGGGTTGATGCGTTTGGGGTTTGAGGTTCAATATGGTGGTCGGAATGATGATTAGCAATACTAATCCTTAGGGTTCGGCTTTGTGCGTATACAATACTAATAATTAATATAGATAAATAAATAAACAAATATATATATATATATATAGATTTATTTATGTAACTGTATACATATATAAATACATATATGCCGATCCCTGTTTTCATGATTGAGGCCCCAGTCTTGGGTTTCGAGATCAGGCTCGTGTCTCATCAGTCGCCCACCCAGCTCGGAGAGTCCACAGAAGCTTAGCATAGACGGCCTTTGGAATTAGAGGAGGGTTTAGGGTTTAGGGTTTAGGGTGACGGCCTTAGGAATTAGAGGAGGGTTTCGGGGTATATTACGGTATATCTGCAACATAAGGAGCCCCACAATCCCCTGAAACCTAAGCCCTAAACTATGTACCATACGTACTGAAAATAAACCCACAACCCTGAAACCCTAAAGCCTAAGCCCGAAACCTTGAAACCCTAAACCCTAAACCCTGAAACCCGAAGCAATAATATTGGCCACTGTTTGGGTAGTTCTCTAAACTAGGGTCCCTTCTTAGGTCCCCAATGTAGAACGGCACCCTTATGAGAAGGACCCCCAAAAGGACCCTAATTTCGAGAGCTACCTATTTCGGCCCCTAAACCCTAAACCCCAAAACCCTCAACCCTAAACCCTAAACCCTGAACCCCAAAACCCTAAGCCCTAAACCCTGAACCCCAAAACCCTAAACCCTAAACCCTCAGGTGCCGCCACAGCCCAACTGCCGGCTGCGTCAGTGGCTGTGCGGCAGGAGCTGGGCCGGCCGCGGTTCTCTCGCAGAAAGATTTCAGGGGCCAGGTTTTAGAATTTAGGGTTTAGGGTTTAGGATTTAGGTTTTAGGTTTCAGAGTCTAGGGCTTAGGGTTTAGAGTTTAGGGTTTAGGGTTTAGGGTTGAGGGTTTAGGGTTGAGGCGTAGCGTTGAGGGTTTAGGCTTAAGGGGTTTAGGG